TAAGATTCAGGAATCCTGTGCGAGAACTGAAGCCTTGAGTTCAATTCCGGCAGGAGACGGGCAACGACGTGGAGCCTTTGCAGGTGGGACGGGGAGGGCTGTTTGGATTTGCACCGGAAACTGCAGGGAGCATGGGGAATTGTCAGTGAGTCATGACGTTGAAAGTAAGTAAGGAGCTGGAGCAAATTTGTTCCTTTGTAGGTCTCTTACAGGCTAGACCTGGGGCATAAAGGTGTCCTCACTCAAATTATCTTGCCTATGTCTTGCTTGCGCGTACCAAGAGCTGGAGCAATTAGGTTGTGATGAGTCCGGTGATCTTCACCTCTCCAAGTACAAGTTACAATGCCCAGAAACGCCAAATCCGTGCACCCTCAATAGGGGCACAGTCCCAAAATCCCGAGTGCTTCATCCAAAAGCTTGTCTCCGAAGGCCGATAGTCCACGATCTAAGCCCGAGCCAGTGGCCCTTCCGCGCCGGGAGAAGACTCCGGAGGAGGAGGCATACGGGCTATAGTCTAAACTGCTTAAGGGGGTGTTACATAGGGGTCCCTTTAAGGGGAATATAGGGTTCTGTGGGGTTCTATGGGGTTCTATAGGGTTCTATAGGGTTTAGGGTTTAGGGTCTAAACTGCTTAAGGGGGTGTTATAGAAGGGATTCTATAGGGGACTACGATAGCAGTTATTAAGGGGGATACTAGGAGCTTAGACAGTAGCTCATATGGGCAAATGCAATCGCGGTTTGAGGTTTCAGGCTTCGGGAGCAGACAGTCGGGATCGCAGTGCGCGTAGATGCTCCGTTTCATGTTTGAGGGATGAAGAACAAGATCAGGCGTTAAGCGAAGTCGGGCTGCAGGGTTCAAGCTTTTAGATGTGGTCAAGAGATGATGCGCTGCGATTTCCAAATGGTGGTTTCCATAAGTAGGGGAGGGGCCAAGAGGGTCCCGAATATACTACAATCCTTCCCATGGGGGTCCCCGAAATGGATTTTAGCAAGCTCCCCTCCCAAACGTGTTCTCTAAACCCTAAACCCTAAATCCCTAAACTCTAAACCCTAAAACCCTAAACCCCTAAACCCAAAACCCTCAACCGCGTCCCTTGGCAGGGTGATACCAGTTCAGCCTCGGGAGTGTAGAAGCATAGTCCCCCTTAAGAAGATAGAACATGGCTTGGGGTATATTATAAGGTTTAGGGTTTAGGGTCTAGGGATAGAATATGGCTTTGGGTATATTATAATAAGATGCCCATATACCCCATATTGTATCTACTTAAGGGGGACTATATCTGTCGTCCCCTTAGGATTTTGCTATAATTGTATAACCCTAAGGATTTTTGTTTCCTTAGGATTTCCCGTTTTTATCATTGCATAGCTCTAGGGATTTTGCCGTGGGAAGCGGAAGGGAGGAGGAAGCTTGTTGCAGAGACGCAGCATGCTTGCAGGCTTTTGGCTCTAAGACCGTGACTTGGATTTTTTCGAGTTATCCAAACATTCTAAACCCTAAACCCTAAAGCCTAAACCTTAGGCCCTAAACCCTAAGCCCATTCTACCTCAGGTCCCTGAAGCCTTAACGTGTTGATTTTCACAGGAGACGGGCAACGACGTGGAGCCCGTCCAGGTGGGATGGCGAGGGCTGTCCAAATGACTAGTATTCTATTTCGGGATACTATGGTACCCATTATAGAGTAAGATTCTAGCCTCCTGTTTGGGTATAGTACTTTATATAAGGAATATAATCTTACTAGGTTCAACCACCAAAAAAAACGCTACTCAAATGGTAGTTTCCACATGCGGTTTGGGGTTTGTAGTTTCCCTTTCATTTTCCATGTTCTTCTCCATCTGAGTCTCCGTAATACTAAGCCCTCCATTGCTTATCCCCAAGAATCGAATAGCTTCCATTTTCCATTCTCCTTAGCCCTAAACCCGAAACCTTCAAGCCCAAAACCCTTAACCAAAAAACCTTAACCCCATGCCGATCATCCCTTAAATCGTTTACATTTCCAAGCCATTGTTTTGGCAGGCTGAAAGCCCACGTTCGAAGCCCGAACCCGTCGCCGTGCTGGGGCAGCAGAAGACTCCGGTCGAGGACGGGTGGGTTTGAGGCTCATGGTATGGGGTTTGCTTAGGGGTACTTGGAAATAATGTTTACTTCTTGCTTATTATAATCCTAAGGCAGAGCAAAAAATTAGAATTTTCACTAGGGTTCAAAATTCACTATAGGCTGGGTAGGCCCCTGGGATATTTAATATTTTCCCTAATGGCTTTAATAAGGGACCCCATATACTAACATTTTTCAAAGGGTTTCAGGGGCCAACCCAGTAGGTCAAGGTTTGGGGCTTAGGGTTGTTGGAGTGCAGGGTTGGGCGTTGCGCAGGTAGGGGGGCTGAAGGTTCGGGTTGGTGGTTAGGGTTTGGGGTTTGGGTTTAGGGTTTGGGCTTTGGGGTTTGGCGTTTAGGGTTCAGGGTTTAGGGTTTAGGGTTTGGGGTTTAGGGTTTGGGGTTTAGGGTTCCAATTCAATACGTACAGGGTTTGACTTAAATTTCAAGCACAAGAACTAAACCTGGCTCCCAACAGCCAGAAGCTTGAGTTTTAGACTTCCCCAAGCTAACAGGGAACCCCAAAACGCCAAGTCCTTGGAAATTGGAGGTAAAGTAGGGTTTCATGACAGTTTGGGAGGATATAGATAATTAGAGAACTAAACACTAAACAAACGAACAAGTAAACGCACAAATACTACATATATATATATGTACATATCCTCATGCAATCCTGAATAGGGGGTGGTTCCACGTTAGACTGGGAGAGGGTTTGCAGGAGATGGGCAACGACGTGGAGCCTTTCCAGGTGGGATGGGGAGGGTCTCGGGTTACCCTACACCCCAAATCCTAAGCCCTTAAGCCCTAAACCCTAAACCCCGGATCCTAAACCCTAAGCCCTGAACCCTAAACCCCAGCTCCTAAACGCCTAAGCCTTAAACCCCAGATCCTAAACCCTTAAACCTTAAACTCAAAATCCTAAACCCTTAAGCCCTAAACCCCTAAATCC